ATCAATAAAAGCATAAATTACTATATTTTAAAATTGCTTATTATTTAATCATATTGTATAAAAATTCAGTTAAAATAAAATTAACTTAAATTCAGAATTTCACAATTTTAGTCTATTCTTTTAACTGTTAAATTGGCTGTAATAATTTTCATATGCTGTTTCACTATCTACACGTGAAAGGTGGGTATAATGGTTACTGACAAACTTTGGAAAATTTAAGAAATTTGCGAAGAGATCAGAATATATGAAATTTTATATATAAATTAATGGTTTCCAAAGTAATACTAAATTAATAAAAGCCTTTAAAAGCAAAGAACTCTGCGTGGATTCATTAATTCTTTAATTCAGTGTGGATTTGATTGCATAGCTCAATGCATGTTGAATTCGTTATAGAATTTGGGTTGCAGTTCTTAGACGCAGCTTTTTTGGCCATTTTCATGACTGATGACAGTATCAAAAGTAGCTCACAGTTACTTTCATTTTGTCCCTTTCATGAAGCATTTCCTGATCCCGCTATAGTTCCTTACATTCATAGGAGGCTTCTGTTGACTCAAGACTATTTCAGAATCAAGGGCCCCCTGTTCAAAAGCTGTCATCTCAGTACATTTTTTATATCTTTTATAAATCTTAAGAACCATTCTGGAATTTTAAAGCTATTCCAGCTACAAGATGAAAAAAGGTAAGTAATTAGTTAAATTTGACATCAAAAAAGTTATTAGTTTTTTATGTTTTTAACAATCAGTTTAATGCCTTTTGCCGCCCAGCCGGTACAGTGGTTAGTGACCCTGACTGCAGTAGCGATGGACCCGAGTTCGATTCTCGGAGAAGGCATGACTGTAAGTGTCCATCACTTCACAGAAGGCCACCACTTCTGACCCTTCTAGTGGTGCAAGGTTTATTAATCTATTAAATAAAACGCCTGGCCATTAAATAAAACGCCTGGCCATTAAAAAAAATAAATAAATAAAATCTGAAAGATTCAAGATTTCATATTACACCCAAGGGGGGTTCTTTTTAACGTATTGTGTGTTGCCTTTATTTATTAAACATCATGTTCTTCGCATTTAAACCTCATAAAATTCAATTCAACAGCAATATTACGAAATATTTAAAAACAGCATACCTTCAGAATTACCGATAGACAGCCTCGTGCCCTGTAGACAAAAATGTTATTTTCCGTACAGTGTTGCCATTTCTAGTTTTGAAATCATCGAGTTTATTAATCTGAAATTTTACAAAATATGAAACCAAAAAGTCCAAATTTTGGCTTCCAGATGCTCATTATTCAAAATTTTATGTCTCTAGGTATCGTTGTTTTCTCACAGTGAGAGAAACATACATATACTCAAGCAGGTTTTTTTATTATTTAAATTTCTTTAAATATAATACAGGGTGCTAACATTTGGTGGCAACAATTTGAAAAGTGAGACGGGCATTTTTAAACAACGCAAAATGCCTTTTCGAAAATGATAGCCCTTTTGGGCTACTGCCCCTTTGGACTAAAAGGAGTTTAATTCATTTCAAACTTTCTTATCAACAAGCGGAATTCAGACTTTCGATTGAAACCGCTTACAGCATTTTAATTATATTATTTAAGGATCTGTAAGATTAACAGCAAAAGAAGTAGAAAATAGAAATGGGTTTGACCATAATATCAATAGTTGATACTATATAGGATAATATAATATAGGAATAAATCACATAATTTTAGTTAACGTCGTAACATAAAAAGTAATATTCCCCATTCTTTAAATAGTCGTTACATTTCCTAGATGAGATACATCACTTCTTTTAGAGAACACTATTGAAAAGCTTTAAAAATACTGCACCTGTCTGCGTATAACATGTGCAAAAGCAATGGTTGCAGACTGCGGGTTTTGTTTCCTTAAAACAGTGATTATCCACATGCATGGTTGGTTACAAAGAATTCTCAAAATAAAATAAAGAAGTCTAAAAAACATCCTCAAACTAGTATACACAAAAGGTTACTACAGCTCTGGAAAAATGTTATTTTATAAATACAAAATTTAACTTTTTACATCACTTTCTTAGATAAACAGCCCAAACTGTAACATGCTCTAACAAGTAAAATGTAAAAATTTTCATAAATATACGTGCAGGTTTTGCTAAGATATTAAAGTAAAATTTACCAATTCACTATTTCAATTTCTAACAGATTTCGACCATACTAAAGGGATAAACTGCAAAACAAAAATTCCTCATTTTGGCGAGTAATGATTCCGCTTCAGAAAAAAAAGCACTCGTTCTTAACTTCGTAGCTGAATCTATAGCTGTAATATTTTTAAATTCCTCACATCTCTGTAAATTTTGGGTAGTTTTATTAAACTGTTAAAGAATACTAAACAGTTTACTGTTTGAACGCTTTTTGTATGGGAATACAAACGCTTTTGTATGGGGATACGAAAATCAAAATCTGTATTTACGAACCCCTCTTACAATCAGTAACGAATATGTTTTCATAAAAGTATCTGTACTATTTTTCGAAACATTCTGTACGGTGGTATATGTCTAGAATAAATATTTAAGGAAATGAAGTCTGTAGTTACTATTTTAGGAAACATAATATAACAATTAAATGTGCCGCCGAACCTAGATAGTAATTAGCGACTCTAACCGTCGTACCGAAGGACCCGGGTTCGAATCCCTGAGAAGCATGAGTGTTCGAAAATCATAGTGTCTGTGTGACATGGGGCGCTTAAAATATGCGGCGAGCCGAAAGTCCTCTCGAGAGATTGCTGGCAGGGAAGGAGAAACCCTCAGACCTGTGCCCCGAGATGCTCTCCTTCAAAATTGGTAACGGAACTTAGCAAAGTCATACTGTCTCCTGTATGCTGCTCAGGTTTCTTGCCAATGATAGGGGCATTATTGCTTGCTTGCCACGATGAATTTCATAGGCTTGGTCTCATATCAGACAAGACAGATTTGTTACAACAACAAAACCAATTAAATGTTATTTCACATTTTTACTTTCTTGTACGAAGTAAAAAGGAAGTTTTGTAATCGCGAAAAGTTTCAGGCAGCATATTTCAACGAATCCATTTTGACCGTTATCGGATGCAATTTAACGATGTTTTTGCGTGACATCTGTACGTAAGGACAGAATAAAAGACTCTTTTTCTCCAAAAAAAATTATAAAACTGCTTTAAAATTAATTCTGAAGAGAATTTTTCGTGCTGTCTGTACGTACGTAAGTACGTATCTCGCATAACTCAAAAACGAGTTGCCTCAGAACGTTGAAATTTTGTACATAGGGCTGCTATGACATGTAGATATGAACCTCGTATTTTGGTTGCAATCGGCCGCACCAAACGTATATAAATATATTTATATATATAGCCACTCTGTTACCCGGCTTAGTGATCTCAGTTTCTTTACTTTTATATGTTTGTAAATTGTGCATTCTTTGCTTTAAAAATGATTGAATTATGTTTTTCTTATCTTCCGGTTAGGCTTTTTATGCCTTTAGGAAATCTGCAAGCAATATTTGTAAAATTATCAACAATTAAAAGCTGTTAAGCCTAATTTTTAAAAAACAAAGTGCTGTTAAGCCTAATTTTTAAATAACATGGCGGACATGTTTGTTTACATTTGAAACAGCAGAATAGTAGATTTGTTGCCAATCTAGAGAGACTAAGCTACGCAACAACAAAGATAACGCCTTCATTTATTATAGCGAATTAAATCATGCTTAATGACTTTCTGGAATTTTTTCGAGGAAAGATTTACTTCGTAATTTTTAATATAGATATTTTGAGTTTTTATGCATTTTTCTTTGTCGCGAAGTGAGAACTGAATTAATTGAATGAGAAATACTGAATAGTCTGTGAAAAAATGTTTCTTTGTCGTTTTGTTTCCTTAATTTCTTTTACACATCGTTCTAGATTTATTATAGTATTTGAATAGAACATGTGGCAATGATTATATAATTCTTCAAATGATATAAATTTTGTGCATTCTAAGTTATAATATGAACGAAATATAACGCTGTGAAGTGAACCTAGCACCAGAGTCGCTACGGTAAACAAATATAGTGAATTTTAAAGAGTGCGCTTGTTCTATTGTGGTTTATGCGCTATCCTCGAAGTACATTTAATTAAATCGAGTAAGTTTAAATGAAATGCAAGAAAAAATGTATATAATTTAATATTCCGTCCAAGGAATCCTGTAGTGGTACACATCTGAGTTTTACATTCAATTTTAAGACATATTGAATGTAATAAACTAAATGTTCTATGCATCATATCAGAAAAGAGACATAGAGAAAGAATTATCAATCTTTATATTCTTGTTTGAAATATATGCCGACTTATTTCTGGATTTAGCTTAGAATCTTTATTTCACTATTTTTATTTTGTTTCTTTTGGCGGCATCTGTAAACAAATAAAAACAGCGAAGGCTCTCTAACGAAAAGCATCCACAATTCTAGTTAATTTAGGTCTTCCATGGAAGTCGGGGTCTTAGAAAAATAATTTTCAGTACAGGTGTTGGTTAATGATTTTCCGAAATACTGGTCACATTTAAAACCGAGCGTTTTAAGCTGATGGTCGTTATATGAAAGTGCAATGTATTTTCAATCAATAACGGAAACACTAAGCTACAAATCTTCAACCTATGTTCACGCTGTCTTTGAATTCCTATTTAAAACTGTATTTCTTACATTTTTATATGCAATATTCTTCATTACCCAAGTTATTGCCCTGTCTTACCATTATTTATTATGTTGTATCTACCGTACATACACGCAAGCAACCCATCCGTTAGTAATAATTTATGAGAGTCTTCCGTACTTGCTGACTAGACAATCAGTCATCATAATATGGGTAGTTACGATGGCTCCACTCCCTTCTGCCACAAAAGGAATAATGAACTTTTTTACCATTCAATAAGCATAAAAAGTGTAAAAACAAACCAATATTACAGACCCCTATATCTCCGAGATTTATAAATGAGAGATGTAGCCTTGAGAGATATCTTCAGAATTTGGTAGCCATCTGCAGGTGCTCCGTAGGTTGAAAACTCTTGTCTTTCGACGAGAACAACAAAAGAATTGACACTGCATAGAAAAATGGACAAACTGAAGCTTCTGGAGATAATATCCTGCTTAGTATTCTTGATGGTAATATTTGTTTGGATTTCCTTTTGTTTACATGAACCGGGTTCAGTTGATAAAATCTGCTATGAGCTGTTATTATTAGAATTTATTACTAAATGCATTAATATATGAACCCTTTTATTGCTGGTAACTCATAATTCAATTATTTCACATATGTAATTGGCCAATGGGCTTTTATTAGAAAAGAATTATATGTACACTGCACAAAAAAATGAGACAGTTCTATATCTCCCGTTCTACTGGGGCGATTGACAAAATTCAAATTGCGTTTTTCATATCTCGAAAGCGCGACTTAGGATATGTATTAGATTTACATATATATAGCACTGTTCTAACAAACATAGATATTTTGACACAAAATCAAACTTTTCCTGAAATAACATACCAATTTTTTTCCATATTTCGGTTCTACGACTCAAATTATGCCTAGGTATTAAATTTTGTAAAATTTGGTGTGAAACTTACGGAGAAATTCATAAACTTACCTCGGCACATTTTTTTTTCAGTTTGCGCCAAGAATAATTCACTTGGCGAACTTTTTAATTTATAGTAACTTATTTTCCTTTCCTTTTTTACATTGCAGACAAGCCGGAAAAAGTACAATAATTCAAATAATTTTAACAAAGTGCGTAAAACACATTTGGCATTATTATCGCTTATAACAAATATGCCAAGTTTCTAAATGCGCCAATATGTAAATTCATGTATATATTAGAAAAGTTTGAATAAAAAAATCTAATTCTTTGCAGGTGTGCCTAGAAATACATATACTTTAAGATGATGTTAAAAATTTTATAGGTTACAATAAAAAATATTTTTTGAAAAATCTATAAAAAATATTTTAAAATACAAATTTTAAAACTACATCATAAAAAATGAGCGAATTTTATTTGGAATGAACCTAAATATCGAAATTTGAAAGGAAGAATCAAAAAGGTTAAATAAAAAGAGAGATATTAATAAATATATATCAAATTCAATTAATACTGAGAAGCTAAAATTTGAGAGCTAATTTTTAAAAAACTACTCGTGCGAATTTTACAAAACTTCGCAGTCTGACATAATTTGAGTCGTGAAATCGAGGTATGGAAAAAAAACTGGCCTGTCATTTCAGAAAAAGTCCGATTTTGTATCAAAATACTTATATTGGAACAATGCTATATATAAGTCTAATGCATATCCTAAGTCGCACATTCGAGACATTAAAAACGCAAGTTGAATTTCGCCAATTGGCCCAGTAGAGCGAGAGATATAAAAGTGTCCTCTCCCCCTTTTTGCCCAGCGTACCTTAATTTGCATTGAAATTTGTTGCATACGAATTATAGTACATTTGTATTTGAAATATGTACTTTTTTCACATATAATAGAAATATTCATGGTCATGATGATCACCGCATAGCAAAGAAAACCATTTTAGAAAGAATTTTTTTTTTTTTTTTTTTTACAATTTGTCGCGAAAGCTATGAAGAGGAATAGTTATTTGACGGCATAACAAGCTCTCGTAGCAAAATTATAACATCAAAAACGATTATGATTTTATCTAACTCTGGTGCCTCATATAAAAACTTCGTTTTTAGCTAAACATATTATTTAAATTCAAAATGAAGCTTAGGAGAAGGCGCCAAAGATGCTGACGTCACTACTGGGTAGCTGATCCTGTGTACAACTTGGAGAACAAAAAAAAAAAAAAATGAATGTTGTTAATCAAAGTCATATCAATGTATTTTAGGACTACCAACGGCCGAGCGGTAAAGTCGTTGAACTCTGGTAGTTTTGTCCTAAGTTCAAATTCCGCTAACGGGCTGATTGCTTATAGCGGTTTCGTGTTTTTCCCCATGCATTACTTGTATACGAGCCAGTTTTTCTTAGAAAGATCCTGCACGAAGACACCCCTCCCCTTAGGCAGATAGCTGTCGAGTGTTTATCGTAATCACATAAATCAATCAATCAAGTACAATTATAAATACTTTTATGTTCTGGTAACGAAATTTCCTCTACATTATTATATTTATTTTGTTCAATGAAATTTCTCTTCAATGAAACATCTGTTACGAAATATGTTATAAAATACATCCAACGCTTATGTCTGTTGAGTTTCCGACTAAGATTCCATCCTAGTTTTAAACTACACTGCTTGCTATAAAATTTTCTGAAGTCCTTCTCTATGCTATGTGTAACGTGTTTACTAGCCATTCTCTCTCAGAAAATCCTCCACGATTCCTCAGAAAGCACTCGAGGGTTATCTGCTTAAAGGCATCCTTCCCTTTAAGCAGATAACCCTCGAGTGCTTTGCCATAAACAAATAAACCAAAGAAGATATTTTCTCGCCTGAGGCAAATAACTAAATGCGGATCTCTATATACAATCAAATCCATACACGTCTACATTCAGTAAAGGTAACTATGCAAAATCAAACTATAATAACTCGCATAATATTTTTAATAATAATTTTATGCATTACTGGAAATATTACTGGATGCCCATTGGTCAATCCTAGAAGCCACACCTTCGGTGGCTAAACAGATGTGCACTTGTGAAATATGCACCCCGAGGTGTTCCCTCAAAATTGATTGGGGGTAGAAGTAGAAGTTCAACCTCCTTGAGGTTATGGCAACCATTTTTCTATGGACAAAATAGAAACAACAACATTGCTTACAATGCGCTACTTCCAAATGGTGTTTCGCGATACGTTTGAAAAACTGAAAGCTAATAATCATAATTTATTTTTAAATGCATGCCTGTACTATCGCAGTTAATTTGGCGTCCCTCTCACCATTCACCTGAGGCAGCTTGCCCCAGCTCTGTTATGAATTAGTATTTCTTTTGGTGAAAAAACGACTGGTACGGAAAACAGTAGAGTATGAAATTATAACTCTTCGAAATGCATAAAGCTGTGGAGTAGCTTCAGATCAACTAACATTGCCGCGTTCTAGAGAAAGAACTGAGTCGCTGTTTCAAGGAACGGTTGTCAACAGTTGGAGGAATTTTGTTATATCTTAACCAACTGCATTCTTTATTATTTATGGTTTTTCTTAAAAATAAAATTGTGAAACTTAGCGAATGAGAATATTAACGTTAAATAACAAATTAATGGTAGGTAATATGACCTAAATTGTAGCTGCATTACTTCATAAGGACTCACGTGAATCGTTTTATTTGGTGCTGAATTTATTTCCGCGCATATGAGCAAAAGGATAGGAGATGACTCTCACAGAGCCTTGAATCAGACTCGATAACCTTGAACTCTTAAATGAACTCGTCCTCCGAAAATGCTTTCTTGCACGTGTCATTTTCTAGGTTATCGATCTCATTTGTTAAAATCTGGCAGGATACTCATTTTTTCGAGAATTCATTTATTGCGGCAGGATTGAGTAGCAGTTTCAGTCGCAATTTTTTTAAACTGTACAAATTTCATTAAAAATTTCCGCTGAATTTTTTCTTTCTTACACTCTTTCACGATAGTATTTTCACAAACGAATGAGTTAAAACCAAGAAATTTGTATCAACCGAGGAATTAACGACTCAAAGAATATTTCACTCAAACAGTTTTTGTAATGAGTAATTTGGTATTGTAATTTAAGTGCAATTTATCCTATTACTTATAGCAACCTCTTTTTACCGATTTTTTTTTTACTTTAAAATACTCATATTTAACTCTAAATACACACAACTTAATTAAAGTGTATAACATCGGAAAGCTCTAAAATTTGGATAAGCAATATCTTAATTAATAAAAAGAATATTCTTTTGTAAAAAATTTATGTTTTATAAGTAAAGAATTCCATCTTCTTACAGTTGAAGTCGTCTTTAGCTGGAAATGATCTGAATGACTTAGATGATGAGGTAAGTCTGTGATATTTTTACAACAGAACTTCTCTTCTTAAATTTAATATGTTCTTTTTCGGTTAAATGTGGAAAAGAAAACTATTTCAAAACATTATTTTTCTAGGTGTCAATAAAATATTATTTTAGCAAATAACTTCTAAATACAAAAATTTAATAAATAACAAACTCGTTGTTCAGTAAATTTTCTTCTTTCATTTTTTATATTGATGCTTACGTGCCTTTTTTTTAATGTCGTGTTCAATTAATTCAATGAAATTTCTTGCGGTTATTTAAACATTATTAAATGCATATGCTACAGTGAAAGATCGAAATTGGAGAAGATCGACATTCTCCGGTGAATGTCAACACGTACTAAATACGTCGGCTAAAGACCGAATATACATTTATATATTCTTATGCATCTGGTGACACCGACACGACCAAGCGTAGATATGTTCTGGTCGAGGTCGAAACGAGAAGCCGAGTAGACAGACAGGCGTTCTAAAAACAAGGAACTCTTGTGTAATTTAAAGTGTCATAATAGTTTAAGTTGTTGCAATAAATAAGATTACATAACGTTGAGTAATCAAGTGAATTTATTATTAGCCCAAAGGGCATTAGCCCAGAAGGGCTATTAGTAATTTCGCTTGGCATTATGCGTTGGTTCACTGTCAATGTCGGTTCATTTTTCAAATTATTGCCATCAAATGTTATCGCCCTGTATTATATTTAAACAAATTAAATAACGAAGAATCTGAACAAATGTATTGTGATAAAACGATGGAACCTAGAGACATCAAATTTTGAATAACGTAATCTTCCAACGAATATGGGCATCTGGAAGTCCTAATTTAGAATTTTGGAATTTGTTTTATTACCGATTTCATATCTTGTAAAACTTGACTAATTTTTGATTAACAAACTCAATGATTTCAAAGCGAGCAATGACAACACTGTACAAAAAAAAAAAAAAAAAAAAAAACTTTTATCTCCAGCGCGTGAGATTGTGTATCAAAAATTCTAAAGATATGCTCATTTTAAAATCATTTTGCGATATTTCTGTTGAACTGAATTTTATGGTTTAAATGCGAAGAACATCATAATTAATAAATAAAGTTAACACGCAAAACGTTAAAAAAAAACCCTTTAGACGTAATTTAAAATCTGAAACCTTTCAGTTTTTTTTTTAATTGAGCATTAAATACATGTATATCACACTCGTATTAAAGGAAAATGGGTTAAAATTGTCTGGATCATCATTTTTTATATAAAGCTGGGTATGGGTCATTGAGACACATTCTGTGCCTTTAAGAAAACAAGAGAAACTAACAATCTTTACTGCAGTATCTATTTCTGCGTTTGAAGACATCAGATGGATTAAATCCGCGTGGTGTTACTATTAATTAGTAATTTAAATTAACAAAGCTTTCGCCGGGAATCGAACCACGGACCTCTGGAATACCGACCCAGCGTGCAGGAACACTACACCACGTACACCACGAAGGCACGCTAGGTAAGTGGGAGAAATACCTTATATGTTAATCAAAAATTCGTTACTGTCTAACACAATATGAAATAGATAATAAAACAAATTCCAAATTTGGACTTCCAGATGCCCATATTCTGGTGGATATGTACGTTATTCAAAATTCGATAATTCTAGGTACCGTTGTTTTATCCCAAAGCGAGAAACATACATACATTTATGGAGATTCCCCATTATTTAATTTCTTTAAATATAATACAGGGCTCTAATATATGGTGACAATAGTTTGAAAAGTGAATCAACGCAATATGCCAAAACAAAATTAATAGCTCTTCTGGGCTAATAACTATTAGTAAAAATAATAGAAAACTTATATCCGTTCCTGTTCCTAATGTACATTTTTTTCGATATGAAACCAATAGAAACTAAATTTCCTAGACTAAATTGTCTAAATGAAATATTTATAAAAACTCAATTTATATGTAGCATGAAAAGATACAAAATGTTTCTAGCACGGCTTCAGTATACATTTCAAGATTTTAAGCTATTTGGAAACGTAAAAAGACTCAAAATAAACAAAAGAATTTATAGCTTAATATAAAATATGATACTGATATTTTAAAATGCGGTTAAATATTTTTGCATTATACTCATATAAATGTAAATTTATAATTTTTTTTTTATCTAGCTTCTCCTCACACTTCTTACTCCGACTAAAACAGCCAGCGGTCAAACTCTTTTCGAAGGAGATATTGTACAGGATGTGCCAAAATACGACGAAACCCCTGCAATGAAAGCTCTGCCAAATAGAGGAGGATTGTGGACTGACAGAGTTATACCCTACGTTTTCCATCAAAGTAAGATATTATATAAATTACTCAAAGATGCTGAATAGTTAAGAGAATAATTAAGAGATATAATTTTCAGTAAAAAGCAGTTAATTGACATTTATAACAAATTTAGGAAAACCGACTTTTATGATTTTTTTTGTTAGATTCTTAAATTTGCCGCTTCTTTTTTGACTCTACCATTTTTGCGTCCTTGTACGAAGTAAACGAAATATTGAAATCACGAAAAATTTCCGGGTATCATATTTCAACGCAATATCCATTTCAACCATCCTCGAAACCATTTGAACGATGTTCTTGAGTGACATCTGTACGGACAGAATAAAAGACCCCAAACGGTTTGTAAAATGGATTTAAAATGAGTTCAGAAGAGATTTTTTTTTCGTGGCATCTGGTACGTACTAATGTACGTACGTACGGATGTATTTTCGCATAACCCAAAAACGAATAGCCTCAGAACGTTGAAATTTTGTATATGGGACTGCGATAACATGGAGTTGTGCAACTCCCATTTTGATTGCAAACGGCCGCACCAAATATAAATATGAATATAAATATACCCACATTGTTATATATATATTATCCTGTAGCTGTAGCGCAGGAAGGGTATAAAAATTTTGTTTTTAATTTTTAGCCTCTTATTATGTTTCTTCTTCTTCTTTATTATTATTGTTATTATTATTATTATTATATACACTCATAAACAAACAAAAAAAAAAAAAAAAAAAAAGACGCACCACGACGCACCGAGAGAAGATATAAAGCAAATTGGACACAAATTGATATGCATACAGGTTTCGACGGAAAATGCAAAATTTTCACATTTTGGCTGCCAATGAATGAACGGTTGTCGCTACAGCGCATCTGATGTGCAATCTGCCAACTGGATAATATTTAAGGAGAAATTACGATTCCAGGTCATAAATTCTTCACGAATTTCATTCCGTGTACTCTGGTAGACAGTAACTATGCCTCGCATACAGGTGCGCGAACGATATGCGCAGATGTCAGAATTTGAGAGAGGTCGTGTAGTTGAGCTCAAAGAAGCCGGTTGGTCTTATCGGCGAATAGCTCGACATTTGAGCAGGAGCGATGCCACTATTAGACGATGTTGGCAGGAATGGGTGAACCATGGCCGCACACAGCGTCAAGAAGGAAGCGGTAGGCCTAGAGAAACGACAGAACGTGAAGACCGAGCAATCGTCAGAGCGGCACTCACAGCCCAGATGCATCATTATCATCGATTGTACGTGCAACTAGTGCTTCAGTGACCGCAAGGACCATTCATAGATGGCTCACAGAAAGGGAGCTGAGGTCACGGCGCGAGGGGCGCCGACTACCGTTGACCTCTGTACAACGTCAAGCCTGCTTGCAATGGTGTCGGACTCATTCGCAACTGGAATGTTCCTATTATGGTTCTTATGTCTTTAGTTAATCTGTATGCAATAGCTGTAGAATTATCAACAATTTAAATGTATTAAGCCTAACAAAACCGCGTTTTGTTTAGTCTTCAGTGTCTTCTTGCGGAGTGGGACAAAAAGTAAATTTTCAGTTTTGTGCATCAAAAAAAATCTGCTTTCTTTACCGCTGGCCTATTTGTTTGTTTTTGCGTATGAACTCCAATCGTAGCTGTAAAAATTGTCTTTTAACTGTACCTTGGAAGTTCTAAGGCCCGTTGTGTTGCCCTTAATGTCATGCCACCCTGGGCTTACATTTCAGCAAGATAATGTCAGCCCCCCACATTGCACATGTTTCTACTGCTTGCCTTAGTGCTTGCCGAACCTTACCTTGGCAAGCAAGGTCGCCGGATCTCTCTCCTATTGAGCACATTTGGATCATTATGGGCCGCGCCCTGGAACCAGCTTGGGATGTTGACCATCTAACGCGCCAGTTGGACAGAATTCGGCACGATATCTCTCACGAGGACATACGCAAATTCTATCAATCAATTCCAAGCCGAATAACTGCTTGCATAAGGGTCACAGGTGGACAAACGCGTTACTGACTTTTTTACTTTGTGAAGCTCTATCACTTCGATAAATCATCCAATTTTTCTCAAACTGCAATCACTTATTTTTCTGTACATGTACACCACTTCTACCGATTTTCTTGGATAACTCCTTCTTGGTGCGTCTTTTTTTTTTTTTTTTTTTTTTTTTGTTTGTTTAAGAGTGTAGTTTATTTTGAATTGAGGAGAAATCATCATGGTAATGCCGAATTTCCGCTTATTATGTTTGTGAATATCTGCTCTAGAAGACCACACGAAAATTTTGAATTTATCATCCTTTAAAGGCATCGTTTAAAGAAAATATCGGATACAGCTTGCTAAAATCGTCCATACAGTGAAATACTGTTCTGTTTTGGTGTTTTATGTGTTTCCAGTGATTGAAATTATATGGTGGTTTTCTCCAGTCTTCAGTGGCACCAGCGGTGCAATATTTGGATACATGGATTAACAATTCGGTTATAATGTCCTAAGTGCTATATCGTATATCGTTCATATTAATCGATTATTGTTTTGGTGCTCCGAAATAATTCATATAAGACCAAGAACAATATATAACGTTAATGCATTTTCTGATTCTGCTGAAAATGCAATCAATGCAGCAGCAATAACAATTTAAGCTCTTATGGTATGTTCATTAGTTTCAAAATACAAAGAAATCATTGGACTGGTTACCAGCACTTAATATGACTGCTAAAGATGAATTAGATATATCTAATAACAAGAAATAATACATTAAAATTAATAATAATGCACATTCTATATTATGTTGTCTTTTGTATAGCATGCAGAAAAGGTTAATGATTTTAAAGCGTATGAAATGTATGATCGAAAAAATAGTGTTAAGGAAACATTGGGATTACTATGAAATATTGCAATCTATAATTATGTGATATTTAATTGTGTAATAGTAAAAAACACGAAATATTTTTATTGATTGCAAATTGCAGTTTTATTACTTTTCGTTTGGTATCTATTCTTCCAAACACTGTGTAATTCGCGTTTTTTTTTAAATATTGCCGTTATGTATGTTTATTAGATTATCTCAATAAATGAATGTTGGAAATCAGGTTTTATTTATTTTTTAAATTTAAGTATATTCTATTTTCTTCGCTTACTTTTTATGTGCTTGTGATAACAAAGAAATTCATAATAAATAGAAACAAAAAGTTTCATCGTGTGCTCTTTAACAAAGAGCTTACTTTAATGTACTTAGCTTACTATCATATACTATATTATTTAAATTATTTCTGTACAGTAACAAAAGGAAAGTTATTGATTATAAAAAGTGCATGAAATAATCATTGTAATCTACCACTATTCTAAAATGTAAAAACTAAAAATAAGTAAATACATTAACATATGATCGAAAGAAATGGTGTTAAGAAACATCAGCATTACTAGTAAATACTGCAATCCATAATTATTGCACTTTTAATTGCTTACTATTTTAAAAAACACAAATATTTTTTTATTAATTGGAAATTTTAGTTCCGTTACCTTCCTTCGGCTTATTTATATACTTTCAAACACCTGCTAGTTCATGTTTTTTCTTAAATAGTGCTGTCATGTATGTTGTTTGTTAGGTTATTATTTCATTTTAGATATGAATATGGGAAGTTTTTTTGGTTATTAGATTTAGATATATTTTTGTATGAAGTATTTTTTATCACATTTATTAACTACTTCATACAGTGTTTCATTTGCATATCTTGGGGATATAGAAGTTAATGGTTATATTTTTTACTATAAAACTCGAATAAATTTATACTCGAGTTCAGGTAAAATACTGATTATGCTACCTTAAGAACCGCTTCCTAATTTATCATGATAGGGACAATTTTCAATGTCTCTGATATTTAACAAACATTAATGTAATAATGCTGTTATAATCAGAAACGCTCTTTTTTTTTTTTACCCATATATATATCTTTACTTTTATTTATGTCTCATTTAGTTTTATTTACTTAAAACCTACTATTAGTGTTATATATTTATAATAACCACTCTCATAATTATTTTCACTTACATACTAAAGGATTAAGGGAAAAAAAGGATGAAATCTCAAATAATCGTAACTTGGAATTTAAGTTATTTAAAAAATATAGTTTAATGTACTGAAAATAATTAAGACTTATTAATTATGCATATTTATTCTAAAGAGAAAAAGTTGTATTATCTTCTGGTTTTCAAGAAATGATAAAATATTTAAACTTTAGAAAAATACAAGGAATACATAATTTTAGAAAAGGAGAAAAATATACTAATTATTAAGCTTATTTTCTACATAAATGACTATGTGACAGAAGGACATAATAACGAATTTTTCACAACTGTTGCATAAAGGTCGTATTCTATGAATATTTAGGCGTCGTTAAGACGTCGTGATACGATGCTTTCACAACCGAAATATAACCTAATAAAGACGCAATAACGACGTCTGTGCAACAAAAACCTCATCTGCAAAGACGCAATAAAGACATCTTTGCAACGGTTGCAAAACAGTGGAGTTTCGCGACATCTGGGGGTCTTAAAGACGACATATTGCAACGTTTTTGCAACGACATCCACGAAGAGTTTGCAATGTCGTTACGACGTTGCCGTGCTACTTGGGTAGGAATTTCTAACTTTTTATTCTCTTTCGCCCCATTTCGTAAATATTTCTTTCAATATGGAATTACATAATGCATTAAACAAATGCACTTTATAAAAGCTTTAGCATTTTCCGAATTTTTCTCGACAACCCAAATTCAAATTTTCCCTCCGCAAATGTATATTTTCATATAAATTTTAAAAGTAATTTCTGAAATTACCCTTATAGAATATTTTGAAATAATTAGTTTTCATAAATTTAAGTTATTATTGAGTAAATCTTAAGTGGCAAAAACTGTCAGCTGTTTGCAAATGTCGAGGGGTATTACCAGGTTCTCCAGTAGAAATTTGGACACAAAACAAAATTTCCGTTTAATATTTACTCTGAAATATTTTACTGCTCAAGCATATAATGTACTATCTACTGTCTACAAACTCTTACCATCTGCCAGGCAGGTGCTTGATTCTATTCTTGTGGCCGACGGTGGAAGTTGCTGTTTGCAAGGTCATTAGACAGACAAGTCTGGGTTCTCCCAACGCTCGAATTTAATGATGTCACTTCACTTACAAAAGTGAGAAAAACGGAAACATAACATTGGAGCATTCGATGACCCAGTTACGTCACACAAAGCCAGTGACTTTAAAGATTTCTGGTCGATACACAGCAAACCTTGTGGTATGAATTTATTCGAAAAACTGCAGGTCTTGTCTCTTACAGATCCTTTACTATGTAGTAGAAGAACATATTCTCATCCATCAATGTACATAATTTTTCTCAAGTTAACTTCGTCTAACTTGTAGTATTTTTATGTTAATTAAACAGTTATCTTATTATTTTAACTGTACTTACACTTTTACTTTCGTCATCTCCCCACGATACAAGTTAGTTCTCATATTTAAGCACAGAGTTCTTGAAACCTGAAGACAATTATCAGTGATCTCCACACAACTGAATTACACTGAATTGTTCTTAAATAAGTTTTAGCTTCACTGTTCATAAACGTTTGAGTGCTACAGCTTGAGGGCCTAGGTTCTAAAGCTTACTAGGCGAGCTTTAATTTGTATTTAATATTTTAATTTCAGTTGAGCATTTATACTAATTTTCCCGAAAGCTGCGAAGATTTGATTTTCTGTTATTGTTATTAGATTCTGAAAGCTGAAGTATAAGTAAAAATGTTTATTTTATACTTTCTTCTGAGTTTGTGTTATAGGAATTAGGAATAGGACAATGAGTCTTTTGACTGTCTCTCGGGTTCTAGAAGTTAACACTCGGAGTAATATGAGAATCGTACAAACTCATGAAATATAAGCAGTCTCACTTAGGTAGCGTATTCATTCCGATATATATTTGATTAATTTGATGGATTTAATAGTAACAAAACGTATAGACCAATATCTATACGTTTTGTTTATGAACAGTACCCATTATGACGAATTTATAGCCAACAACATAGAAATTTCTCGCAAATTCTATGTATTTAAGGAAATTTTTAGAAGAGAGTTCAAATTTCAACTATGTTCTGATATCCGAAATCTGTTTCTTTAAATAGTAAACCGATATAATATCAGCTAAAATGACAGGATTAGCATCAGCGAAAATGATAAGAACATCGTAAGAGAATATGTACCGTCAGTTCTCGATTAACACGTGCGATATGGGGATGATATCCACAGTTAACTCAGAATCAATCTTAATACGAAAACAAGTAAAACACACATGGATAGGGTTTAACCCATATTATAATTAACCAAAAAGTATTATAATATTAATAAATTGCGGTTATTTTTAAGGGCAGTATAATCTCAAAAATAAGTTCAGTTATTTACGAAAGTTAAATCAATATTTAAAACAAAAATAACTGTAAATAACGAAAGAATAAAACATATGTAGAAGGGAAGAAACTAAAGTTACAAAAGGCATTAAAGAGCAATATTTTTCAAGAGAACTTGAGCAGTGTCATTGAGTCCAAATTCATCTTAAAAAGCCGGTTGGAACTTTTTGTTTTTTAGCGGAGTTCATCTGGCAAACAGCGTTTACTATCACTGTCGTTATAATCTTGTAGTTTTCTTTTCTTTTTCCTGTACTTTTAGTTCAGAGTTTAGGTGAATGGGATAGTAATTTTTGCACCGTCCACGATACGCAAACATAACTTTTAAGACGAAACCCGGTTAATATGACTCCATTTAATCGCAAATTGATTGCAGTTAATTTCTCCCAATAGAAATCATTGCTTAGATATATAACTCTTTTTACATACTTTCAATACATTTCCGTAACCAAAATATGTAAAACACTTCTTTGCTCAAAGTAGCCTTTTCATAAGGCTACAGAGTTTGGTATTTTTTTCCTTCCAATATGATTCGTTTGAATATTTAAAAGAGGTTGAGATGCAGAGGTAGTCCAAATAAAACTGACTCAAGACGCAAGCTTTAAAAATTCTTTCTTTAAAGTTCAAGCATTTCCTGAAACAGAAGATCTCAAACCATAATCCAGTTATGAACAAATTCATGACTTGCACCCAACATTTAGCAGAATTTTAAAATGTATAAAATTGTTTACAAAAAGTTGTAAAGACACTAGGTTATTTCGAAGCAGGAGACTTGAAAAATTAGATACGCCTTCACCGGAAATCGAACCACGGACCTCTCGGATACGTGTCGAGCTTCCAGACCACTACACCACTAAGAAAGCGGGATAAATACCTTATAAAGTTACAAGTCTGTACCCTTTTTGTTTGTATTGTAAAATTTAATTAGCTGTATAAACGTTTGACGAAAATAATTAAATTATTTTTAAATACTCTAATTAAATTATATTTAAGGACAAGATTCAAATGATCTTTGAAGACAACTGAACGA